CTATGATATTTATAAATGTATGAATCATATGGTGAAAAACTGACTTTGAAAAATCTGTTCTTTTTTTATTATAAAAGGCTAAATAAAACAAAAATATTGGTGGTAATTTTTGACAGTGTAACTTTACAAAACTGAGGCAGCACAAGCATGCACAATTGATCTGCACATGGTTCCTGCTCCTTCCAATCTGTTATGGTTATGGTTGGTTTGGATGGATATAATATGCTTATGAGCAGGGGCCTCCTAAGTGGGCCCATTGCTCTTCCCAAAAAGACACTGGTCTTTATTCAAACCTTRTCGACCCTCGGATGAAGGACACAAGGTTAGAAACACTCAGTGTTCTGAGCCTCTCAGGGTCCGTAAAGGGGTCCCCAAGAATACTTTTCCTTTGACCATTCAGAGCCAGGCAGTGGCCTAAGTAGTMCAAAGAGGTCTCTYATTCAATGCCACAGGCATCYCACAGACCATTGTCATGGAGTCCCATCACCATGTTGTGGCAGTTGAGCAGATTGTGCCCAGTTAGGACTCCAACCAGTGTAGAGTTTTTCTTGTCAGGGAGATGAGAGCTTTCCCAAACCTTAGATTTGGGCCATTAATCAATTCCCGTGCCTGTCTACAGTCCGTCAGCTCCCTCCAGCYGATTGAGTGTTGACATCCAATCCAGGCCTYTAGGGCAGTCCTACAGACTTTTGTTGAGGTACCTACAACAGGCTCTGGTCCTCTGAAGTGAGCCTGACTGCAACCTTTTGCGAGGTAGTCAGCTCTCTCGTTACCATGAATGCCAGTATGTCCTCGTACCCATTTAACAGTAACACTGTTATCTCTTCCCAGTTGGTTGACTYCTTCGGCACACTCCCAAGCCAGTAATGACGCAAWGTGTGGCCCTCGGCCCCTGCACCTACTGACCCCTTCAGAAGGGATCCATCTGTAAAACAGTAGAAATGATTGGGAGACATGTCTGTCGTAGAGAGGTTAATTCAGACAGACCTGTCTTCTATCTCTGTCTTAAAACTTGGCTCAAATTTGTATTTTTAACTGTTTTTTCTCCAGGTCCTGCAGTTACTGGAACAACAGCGACTGCCCAGTCCCAGATTCTAGTGTGCTGTGAGTCAGATAGGTTTTTCCACCTACCAGACTGGCGTAGCCTTACTGCACTGGATGTGGCCTCCCCTAAGACGTGTAAATCTAGTGGAGCCAGGTCCAGTAGGACCTCCATGGCTGTCGTGTGTGTTGTTCTGATGGAACCTGTGATGTTAAGGCAGGCCATTCGTTGCACATGGGTGAGCATCACTCTTGCCACCCCAACTTGGACTCGAACCCATCACACTAAAGCAGCATAGCATAGCATGGGGCAGACTATGGCCATGTAGATCCACCTGATAATCTTTGGGGTAGCACCGCAACYACTACCTGCAATTCTACGGCACTGGTGCAGGCACATTGCTGCCTTCTTACACTTTTCATTTGCATGTCTTTTCCAGTTAAGCTTCCTGTCTAGATAGACACCCAATAATTTAATTGACTCTGACAGGGAGAGTTCCACGCCCTCTAACTTTGGAGGTGAGTAACCTTTAATTGACTTCTTGTGACTAAAAAGAACAAATTCTGTATTATTCCTGTCGGTTAACCAATAGGAGAGGAGCTGACCCAAGAAGCCCCGCCCATCTTATTTACATAATGAGGCAAAAAAGCACAAGGAAATGTCAAAACAACACATGGAAATAAAAAGGCTTGTGGGGAAAAAAATTAAATATACCAG